CACACACACACACACGCACATATAGATATAGATATAGATATAGATAGATATACATACATATATATATATATATATATATATATATATGCACGTTGTTGCAGACTTAGATGGTATGCTTTCATTGCTGCAAGCTTTGTTATATAGAAGGGCGAATGTATATTTAATCAGCTTCTTGCGCGTTCGCCAGATTGGTCGAATTAATTCCTTCGTTGTTTTCGGTAGGCCATATATCAGTTTGCCCATAGTCATTCAACTAAAGTTCGTGTTAGCTAACTTCAAGGAAATTCGTTCCCCATTGTCAAAACAATGTATGTCATGCGGACAGAAAGCATTCGAATATGGTGAAATACGAGGCACACTTTACGAGTAATAGTTAAAGGTGCACCATCAGTTAGAACATCATGCATCCTAATATCAGGTAAAGGTGCAAACCAAATACAAACACACGCGTATCACTTTTCTAACCAGTTTGACGCCATGGTAAGTTCAAGACATTGTCATCGCCCTGCTGTCATTGGGTGACTAAATAGGTCCAAAGTGATGCATTACCTAAGCTGGTTGTGAAGGTCAGGCGTTCTTTCTGTAACGAAAATGGCCTGGAGAAACAGTAAACGGTGTTTGGACGCAATTTAATAAGCAGTGTGTTTTCAGTTAGGCCAGAGCGTAGGAGTTTTTTATCATGGGTTTTGCGCACGTCCTGGTATGGCGCTGTTTTCCGCAGGTGCATTGTTGTGGGTCGTGATGGAGATGACGTAGCCAATGACGTCATCACCACGACGTAGCGTATCAATTTTGGTCGAGTTGTGGGAGCCGCCGCCTCCGTATGCGCTTTTAAATTCGCGCATCATATTGGTGCACTTAAGCTGATTTGGTCTGCTGCCAGGGGCGTTTTTTTTTCATTACCGGGCTAATAGCTGCCCTGCTCTTGCAATCAATTATAAGTCTTATGCAGCTTTGTAATGAAAACATCCTGACAGCATACCAAAAAAGAAACCAAAGCGTATCAACATAGTGAACGAATTTAAATGCCTGTACGGAGACAGCCGGCTCCACAACTCGACCTTTATTGGGAATGACTACATCTTTGTCACGACGAATCACAATGCACTTGCACAGGGGAGCGCCAGACCAGCGTAACGCGTAAAACTACAGACACCACCACTCTCTGACTCAAGCGAAAATACGCTTATCCTAACACCATGTTTAAGCAAACGCCGTTTGAAAGTTCTCGGAGAGAAAAAATGGCTGACTTAAATTGGCAGCTTAGGTAATGCATACCTCGGACATATTCAGTCACCCAATGACAGTAGGGTTATTCGATGTCTTGGACTTGCCAGAGTGTCAAACTGGCTGGAAAAGTGTTTTGTGTGTGCTTGTGTGTGTTTTGTACTTGACCTGATATTTGGATTATAATGTGTTAACTGATAGTACACATTTAATTTTGTCTCGTAGAACATGCCTCGTATTTCACCACATTCAAATTTGGAGGAGGACTGAGGAGGACTTAATTCGAACAATCGAGCAAACGGGTAAGAAACGGATAAAATGTACATTTGCCCTTGCAAATAGGTTGAACTTTTACCTCTTTAGGGGGGCATGTCCCCTAATGTTGAGCTGCGCCACCCCCAGTGTTGGGCTAGGCCCCCGAAACATCGAGCTGGGCCCCCACAATATTGGACAGGGCTTCATGTGAAACCGGGGGCCCAGTACTTCTCAGTTCATTGAAATAAAGCTAATTTAGTGTGGCAAGCTAGGAAACACATTATAGATCTACGTCTACCGTTCTATGTCTCCCTATGATATGACAAAGTTGAATCACTGAGCTACTCGTTCAAAATGTTCTTGTACTGTTCTGGTGAAATGTAGCGCAAACACCGCATTTCAGACCACTGTGAATGAATAAAAAGATCAAAGATCGCTGAGATCAAACTGTTAGAAAGAGCGAAAGGCGACGTCGTCGCGCGCCCTTTCATGAAGCGCCAGCCGCTACAGAAGCCATCTTAAGGCTCAGGGGTCATGGTGCAGCCGGGTTTTTAGTACGGACCTTCACGTGTGAGTCAAAGGTGCTAACCACCCGACCATTGCACCCCCGGGAAGAAGAGATCGCCATCTCACAAGTATGTAACCTTCGCGTCCGTACGAACGCCGCACCCCCATGTCCATTGAAGGCCGTTAACTCCAAATAACAACGTTGAGCTCGTAATACCGAAAAACGAGGAGATAAACGCTTTTTTATATCAAGTTTAAGCTATGACCACGAATCAAGTGTGCGAAATCTGTGAAGAAATGTATCTGGGAAATAAGATTTGTGAAGTTCATGGGTCCGCCTCTCCCCAATGAAAAGCGCAAAGTTCCACTCTTGCATCAAAACTTGTACCCCCATTGGTATAGTCCCATATATATATATATATATATATATATATATATATATATATATAAT